CTGGCTGGATCGGTGCCGTCAATAGCCAGTGGCGCCTGGTTCTGTTGGCTTGGCAGAGGTTTTCCTGACAACACACCTGCCCAAGCCTTCTGTGTCAGTCATTTCCCCATGAATAATTGAAGGCAAACGCTCAGCTGCTAATTGATGAACACTAATGTGTTTTCTAATCACTGCAGTTTGAGGTTTTAGCACTAAACAAAGCCCGTGGCCATTGATTTGTGGATTCGGCTGCAGCCCTGAATCTGCTTTCTCCTCCCCCACCCCACCCCCACCCCCCCTCCAATTCTGATCTGTAATAATAAGCCTTATCGGTTTGTCAAAATATAAAACACCAGAGAGAAATTCGAAAGAGTAATAGAAAACTAGAAGAAGGGGGGGGGGAAGCAAAAAAGATTAACAGAGGGATAGAATCAAGATCACGTGAAGTGTTAGTACCACTTTACAAGGCCTTGGTAAGGCCACGCTTGGAATACGGCATCCGGTTTTGGTCACCACGATGTAAAAAAGATGTTGAGACTCTAGAAAAAGTGCAGAGAAGAGCAACAAAGTTGATTAGGGGACTAGAGGCTAAAACATATAAAGAACAGTTGATGGAATTGGGCATGTCTAATTTAATGAAGAGAAGGACGAGGGGGGACAGGATAGCAAGTCTTCCAGTATCTCAGGGGCGGCCCCAAAGAAGAGGGAGTCAAGCTATTCTTCAAGGCGCCTGAAGGCAGGACAAGAAGCAACGGATGGAAACTAACCAAGGAGAGAAGCAACCTAGAGCTAAGGAGAAACTTCCTGACAGTTAGAACAATTAACCAGTGGAACAACCTGCCTCCAGAAGCAGTGAATGCTCCAACACTGGAAGTTTTAAAGAAGAGACTGGACAGCCATTTGTCTGAAATGATATAGGGTTTCCTGCCTGAGCAGGGGGTTGGAATAGATGACCTCCCAGGTCCCTTCCAACTTTATTACTATTATTAAATAGCGTAAAGAGGGAAAAGAAAAGAAAAAAGCACCAACTTCTGACTCTCTTTAGCACCGTAGAAGATAACAACATTACAATCACAACTTTTTTTACTTTTGAACCACAATACGTGCAACACGCTTTCTATAACAATAAACCTGTCTGTTAGCAAAAATAAATAAAAAATAAAAAAATCAAGATTTCGTTTTCCTTTTTCGTTGCCAGCGCAAAATCTGGGACCAATTTCAGAATAGAAACTGGGTTAGATATATTCTCATTTTTGGACAATAAGAATCTGCTTGACCGTCTCTGCTTCTCTTTGCTGTGGGGATCTGAACGGGGAGCTTTGTGGAATTCTGCCACTATATTTGAAGCTCCATCTTTTACCCTGGGAAATGGAGTTGATCTTAAGCTTTTGGGAGTCCTAATGATGAACATAACTTTCTCATTTGATTCTGTATCCTCCAAGATGGGCAGAGAAGACCAACAAAAGCGATAAAGGCTCTGGTGACTAAATCTTATGTGTTATTACTTTTTATTAAATTTATTGGCCTCCCATCTAGTTTTGAAGCGACCCTGGGTAGCTTAGAGCAGTGTTTCCCAAACTTGACAATTTTAAGGCATGTGGACTTCAACTCCCAGAATTCCACAGCCAGCGTTGCTGGCTGTGGAATTCTGGGAGTTGAAGTCCTCATGCCTTAAAATTGTCAAGTTTGGGAAACACTGGCTTAGAGCATAAAAAAATACATTAATATTATCAAGTATAAATATTCCAACCCAATGAAATGACAGACAAAAACCATATAATGAAGAGTTGAGCTAGGGATGTTCAGTCTATCAAAGAGAAGGTTCGGGAGGACATGTTAACTTTCTTACAGTACAGGTGGTCCTTGATATAGGACCACAATTAGCCCTAAATTTTTGTTGCTAAGTGAGGCATTTGTTAAGTGAATTTTGCCTCATTTCACGAACTTTCTTGCCATCGTTGTTAAGTGAATCGCAGCAGTGGTTAAATTAGTAACACGGTTGTTAAATAAATCTGGCTTTCCCCATTGACTTTGCTCGTCAGAAGGTCGCACAAGGTGATCACATCACCCGGGACACTGGAGTCGTCATAAATGTGAGTTAGTTCCCAAGCGTCTAAAATGTGATCATGCCTGGCAGGATTATAATAATATAATAGTAGTAATAAAGTTGGAAGGGACCTTGGAGGTCATTTAGTCCAACCCCCTGCTCGGGCAGGAAACCCTACACCATTTCGGACAAATGGCTGTCCAGTCTCTTCTTAAAAACTTCCAGTGTTGGAGCATTTACTGCTTCTGGAGGCAGGCTGTTCCACTGATTAATTGTTCTCACTGTCAGGAATTTTCTCCTTAGTTCTAGGTTGCTTCTCTCCTTGATTAGTTTCCACCCGTTGCTTCTTGTCCTGCCTTCAGGTGCTTTGGAAAATAGCTTAATTCCTCTTCTTTATGGCAGCCCCTGAGATATTGGAATACTGCTATCATGTCCCCCCTTGTCCTTCTCTTCGTTAAACTAGACATACCCAATTCTAGCAACCGTTCCTTATATGTTTTAGTCTCCAGTCCCCTAATCATCTTTGTTGCTCTTCTCTGTACTCTTTCTAGAGTCTCAACATCTTTTTTACATCGTGGTGACCAAAACTGGATGCAGTATTCCAAGTGTGGCCTTACCACGGCATTGAAGAGTGGTATTAATACTTCATGTGATCTTGATTCCATCCCTCTGTTAATGCAGCCCAGCACTGTGTTGGCCTTTTTGGCAGCTGCAGCACACTGCTGGCTCATATTTAAGTGATTGTCTGCTAGGACTCCGAGGTCCCTCTCACAGTTACTACTATTGAGTAGTCCTGAGTCAGCCAGCTGGTTTTCATGCCTAAGGCAGGACTAGAACTCAGAGCCTTAACCAGTAGACCCAACCGGAATTACCTCTATCTTCCAAGATAATCCATAGCTCAGAAAATATTAAACCGTAGGTAGATGTCAATATCCTGAGGGAAAACCAAAGGAAGGGGTAACATTTCCATGTGGATTTTTGCGAAGATGTTTTTTTTTTTTTAAAAAAAAAATTAAGATTAATGAAGAAAGGCGATGGAATGCAACGGCAGGAAATAGATTGATTCTTTCTTCCCTGCCTGCCTACCTGTATGTTATTGGTTTGCTCTGTGGTACCCCTGTCCTCTATATTGACTCTGAAAGCCACAGGGGACATCAGCAGAAATGGCAATCTGAAAATTAATTGCCACGTCTAGGCTGGTGCATCGGTACTTGCATACTGGGTGCTTGAAAGTATGAATGTGGGAGATGAGATGCGTCCAATTTCCTCCCTAATTAAGATATGTTTACATTTTGTGGAATGTAGAGATGGCGATAGAACTGAAGATGTCAGCTTAGCACAGTGTTTCTCAACCTTGACAATTTTAAGGCATGTGGACTTCAACTCCTAGAATTCCACAGCCAGCATTGCTGGCTGTGGAATTCTGGGAGTTGAAGTCCACATGCCTTAAAATTGTCAAGGTTGAGAAACACTGGACTTAGCACAAGGCCAAGGGCAGTAGGTGCCCTCCAGATGTTTCAAGGAGCTCCTGCAGTCTCTTGCATTGGCCATCCTGGTAGGAGCCAAGGTCAGCTGTAGTCCGAAACCTCTGGATGGGATCAAATCTCCTGTCCTTGTTCTAGCAAATTACAGCATGAACATGTGAACAGTGAGGGGTCCTTGATGCTCTCTGAGCTCGGTGGTTTACTTGAAGACATTTCATGACCCAAACTAGGTAACATCATCAGTGCTAGAAGGGTTTGTGGAGAGGAGGAGGAGGATCTATCTATCTAGCTCTAACTCAGTGGTTCTCAACTTTTTAATGCCGTGACCCCAACCGGTTGTAAGTTGAGGACTACCCAACCGGTCGTAAGTCGAGGGCTTTCCCTACCCAGGAGCGCCACGCATGCGTGGTGCCGCCCTTTGCGCCGGCCGAGGCGTAGCTGGCAAGGGGCAGTGACAGCGCAGGCCGACCACCGGCTGGGCCACCAGCTGGCCCAGCCCAAGGGAGGTAAGGGACCCGCCAGGCCCCACGCACGCCAGCAACCCTCCCTGAGCCCGCCGGCATCCCACCTCCCACCCCTGGCCCTCTTTTACTTACATTTTTAGTAGTTGCTCAGCAGGGAGGGGTGGAAGCTTCCAGACAGCTCGCCTTCGCTGCAGACAACTTGCAGCACCGTTTGCAGAATGGGGCTTTTGACGGGCTCAGCCGGGCAGAGACAGCCTGGACAATTCCTATTGGCTTTTGAAAGCCAATAGAATTAGGCTCTATTCAAGAAAGTCTATTCTATTGGCTTTCAAAAGCCAATAGAATAAAAAGGAGTAGCACAGCTAAGGAAAAGGGGAAAAAATGGTGGACTGCGTTGTTTGGCGACCCCCGTGAAATGGTTGTTTGGCCCCAAATGGGGTCCTGACCCACAGGCTGAGAACCGCTGCTCTATCCATCTCTCTGTCTCTCTCTATTTCTTTCTCTCTCATCTATCTATATCCATCTCTCTCTTTCTATCCATATCTATCTGTCTGTCCATCCGTCCGTCCATCCATCCATCCATCCATCCACTCACATCTATCTATTTATCTCTCTCTCTCTCCATCCATATCTGTCTGTCTGTCTGTCTATTTCCGTCCATGCATCTATCTATCTATCTATCCATCCATCCATCCATCCTTCCACCTATCCACATCTATCATCCAAGCATCCCTCCCTCCCTCCCTCCCTCTTTCTCTCCACATACACACACAAACACATAAATATATGGATAAAGTACCTGATGCTGATTGATAATCCAAACACCTTTTACTACATTCTGTTTTTCTCGCCACACGTTTTACTTATATCCGAAATCAGTTCATTTAGAAATGTGAAAGGTTTCACTTTTTGCTGTACCGGGGCCTTTGATGAACGACGTGCCTATCAGAGTAAGAACAACGGTTAAAATGAGTTTTGTGTTATCTGCCATTCATTTAATGGTTTGTCTGTCTGCTTATTTAACAGACCATCAAAACTGGGCTCACCATGGTTGGAAAAGTGGTAACCCAGCTGACGGGCACTTCGCCGTCAGGAACGGTGGAAGAAGAAATCGTAGCGCACAGCAATAGCCGACGCAGTCCCTTGATCCCCGGAATTGTCACTGTTATTGATACCGAGATGGTTGGAGAAGGACAGGTAAGAACATTCCTCTGAGGAACAAAACAAAAAAGCTAGCCCCTCAAGAGATTTAGAGCAGGGGTGTCAAACTCAATTTCATTGAGGGCCGCATCAGCATTGCGGTTGCCCTCGGGGGGGGGGGCGGGTGTGTGTGGCCAGGTTGGGTGCAGCCTACTGGGTGGGTGTGGATGGAGTGGGTGTAGCCTACTGGGTGGGCATGGCCAGCTCTACATCATTCGCGTCAAGGGTGCCTGTGGGGCCCTGGGCAGGAGTGGGACAGATCTGAGGGTCTCTGGCAGAAGGGGGTGGGACCAGGGCAAGGGCCAAGACATGGTCCACTGGAGGAGCCTCACTGTTCTTCTCAGGCCATGCAGGGGGCTCTTATGGAGCTAAGACTGAATGTGTTTCAGCATAGATGGCCACCACAAAATTGTACATTGTCTGCCTCCTGGCCTGGGCCAGGGCCAAGGCAGCGGGGGCCGTTCCCTCACTGTTTCCAGGATGGCTTCACGTGCCACATGAAACCACTTCGCGGGCCGCATCCGGCCCCCAGGCCTTGTGTTTGACATGCCTCATTCAGCGTTTCAAAGGTTATGAAATGTGCCTTATTCTTGGCCAATTCTTGGGAAATGATCTGCAGGCCACGTGGCCTTTTATTGGTGGCTGGGTGGTGGGCTAGTCCAGGGGTCCCCAATCCCCGGTCCGTGGCATGCCAGCAACCGGTCTGCACAAACAAGCAAAGCCCCATCCGTGGGATGCAGGCAGTGCACAAAATCACACACTCTCCAGTCCATGGAAAAAAATTGGGGGACCTCTGGGCTAGACAGCTGATCCTCTTCCTGAAGAACCCTGATGTCATCTGGAAAAGACGGTGCCGAAGGCTGGAACTGAGCACATGTTTGCGCTGTCATCAAATTCAGTAATCCTGGAACAGCTCTTCCTCTAAATGGAAACTTTATTGTGGTTCTTTTGTTATGCCCACTCCTGCTCTTGTTTCCCCACCCCCACCCCGAGAGGAATTTGACAAAAGTTTGATTTGCCCAAATATGAGACTTGTCATTCCCCCAAGCATTCCTGGTTGAATCTGATTTGTTTTTTGTTGTTGTTGTTGTTGTTTGTTTTGGTTTGGGCCCTGTCATAACTTGTATACCCGTGGGGTTGATTTATTGCGGAGGAAGTGCTAATTGGGAGTGAATGGAAGCCAGCTTGTGTACAGCTGAAGGAGATTTGCAGAGATGACATTTTTCACGATGTCGAGGGTGAAACGTCCCTCTCTATCGTCTTTGCGCTTGCTAGACATTGAAGCTGAGGGACAGTGTGGTGGTTTGGGTCGGATGGCAGAGAAGAACCTGTTGTGAAGTGTGGTCCAAATCCAAGATAACGGCCGCAAATGAGGAATTGTTTCCATAGAAAAGGCCTACTGCTTATCAAAGTTCAGCTACCTCAGAGGTGGGGAACCTTGGCCCTTTTATGACTCGTGGACTTCAACTCCCAGAATTCCTGAGCCAGCCATGCTGAGGAGAAATGGAGAGGTTTCCAAGCTGAGCCATGCTGGCTCAGGAATTCTGGGAGTTGAAGTCTACGAGTCATGAGGGGTCCATAGTTCTCCTATGTTGGCTCAGGAATTCTGGGAGTTGAAGTCCACAAGTCTTACAGCTGCCAAGGTTGAGGACCCCTGATATAGGGCAGGGGTGGGGAACCTTGGCTCTTTTATGACTTGTGGACTTCAACTCCCAGAATTCCTGAGCCAGCCACGCTGAGGAGAAAGGGAGAGGTTTCCAAGCTGAGCCATGCTGGCTCAGGAATTCTGGGAGTTGAAGTCTACGAGTCATGAGGGGTCCATAGTTCTCCTATGTTGGCTCAGGAATTCTGGGAGTTGAAGTCCACAAGTCTTACAGCTGCCAAGGTTGAGGACCCCTGATATAGGGCAGGGGTGGGGAACCTTGGCTCTTTTATGACTTGTGGACTTCAACTCCCAGAATTCCTGAGCCAGCCACGCTGAGGAGAAAGGGAGAGGTTTCCAAGCTGAGCCATGCTGGCTCAGGAATTCTGGGAGTTGAAGTCCATGAGTCATAAAAGAGCTCTGAGCTACCTCAATATATTGAGTAGTTTAGTCAGTGATTTTGAAACAGGGCCTCGCTCTAAAACGAGGAACTATGGCCCCTTTACAACCTGAGGCCTTCAACATGCTTATCGCCTTAAAGAGGCAATGCAGGTCGTCCTTGGCTTACAACCGTTTGTTTAGTGACCGTTGGAAGTTACTACAGCCACCGAAAAAAGTGACTTGTGACCATTTTCATCATTTATGACAGTTGCAGCGTCCCCATGGATGTCACCTGATCAGAATTCAGATGCTTGGCAACTGGCTCATAATTATGACGGTCGCACTGTCCCGGGTCATGTGATCCCCTTATGAGCACTTCTGACAAGCAAAGTCAGTGGGGAAAGCAGATTCACCTAACAATGATGTTATTAACTTAACCATTGTGGAAAGAAAGGTCGTAAAACTCTCTTAACCACTGCCTTGCTTAGCAACAGAAATTTTGGGTTCAACTATGCCCAAAAGTCGAGGATCTATCTGTCTGTCTGTCTGTCCGTCCGTCCGTCCGTCCATCCGTCCGTCCATCCATCCATCCATCCATCTATAATCTATCTATCTATCTATCTATCTATCTATCTATCTATCTATCTATCTATTTATCTATCTATCTACCCATCCATCCATCCATCCATCATCTATTCATCCATCATCCATCCATTCATCCATCCATCTATCTGTCTGCCTATCTATCTATCTATCTATCTATCCATCCATCCATCCATCCATCATCTATTCATCCATCATCCATCCATCCATCCATCCATCTGTCTGTCTATCTATCCGTCCATCCATATCTATCTATCTATCTATCTATCTATCTATCTATCTATCTATCTATCTATCTATCTATCTATCTATCTATCTAACCAAGCCCAGAATTTATGTTGCTGAGAAATGCGTTGAGTGAATTTTGCCCCATTTTATGACCATCGGTTAACTGAATCACTGCAGTTGGTAAATTAGTAACACAGTTGTTAGCTGAATCGGACTCCCCCATTGAATTTGCTTCTCAGAAGGTCGCAAAAGGGAATCACATCACCCCGGGACATGCATCCATCATAAAAGTGAGTCAGTTGCCAAGCATCCACATATAAATCACATGACCAGGGGGATCCTGAAAAGTGTCCTAAGTCACTTTTTGCGGTGCCCTTGTAACTTTGAACGGTCACTGTTGTAAGTCAAGGAGTACCTGTTCTATTTCAGACTAATTGTGATGTGGCCTACATCAGAGGTCTCCAACCTTTTGGGCACCAGGGACCGCTTCTGTGGAGAGAGGTTTTTCTATGGACCGGAGGGTGTGTGTGGTTTTGTGTGCTGCCTGCATCCCGCGGATGGGGCTTCGCTTGTTTGTGCGGACTGGTTGCTGGCATGCAGCAGCCCGGTACCGGTCCATGGCCCGGGGTTTGGGGACCCCTGGCCTACATAATGATGTCCCCTCTCCCTGGGCTGTTGAGAGAGTGACAGAAACTGACTCAAAGTCACTTGCCGGCTTGCATGCCAAAGGGAGCTTGTGGTCTCCTGTTTTCTCATCCAGACTTTTACCTCTTTGGTAAATTGAATTTCAGTTTTCATAAGGACGGGTTTGAAGAAATAAACAGACTCAGTTGACCCTCAAAGACTCAGACTCTGTGTAATGAAAGATAGCATGGAGCCCCAAAGGAGCCCAACTCTGCCTATTTCATTTAAGATTTCACAAGCTTCGTTTATTTTAGAATAAGGTTGGTTGGTCCATTCAAGGTTTATTATACTTTCCTGGAAAATACACTTTCTTTTCTTTTCTATAAAACCAGGAAAAAAAGGGGAGGGGGGGTAAAGGGAGAATGAAATTCTGCTTCATAAATTTCTCATGAAGCCGTTTTTTTTTTAATGCAGTCATTATTTCTGACGGTTCAGTGTCTGCTCCCAGACTCCTCTTGCAAAGAGCTTGGCTAATAAAATGATTTATCGTAGGTTTTTAAGTTGCCTTATATATGATTTAGAGGAATTTTTTTTTTTGCCTTTAATGAACTTGGCCTCTGATCTTCGTAGTAATCATGAGCTGGCCTGCTTAATGGATACGATAAAAAACTGGTTTCTTTGGGGTATTTGTGTGTGTGTGTGTAAAACGACGGCACTTGGGCTATTTAAGTGAGCTAAAGACATTTTTTGTTTCCTTCCCTGAACTTCCTGAAATATCATAGAACAGGGGTTCTCAACCTTGGCAACTTTAAGACTTGTGGACTTCAACTCCCAGAATTCCTCAGCCAGCTTTGCTGGCTGAGGAACTCTGGGGGTTGAAGTCCACAAGTCTTAAAGTTGCCAAGGTTGAGAACCCCTGTTATAGAATAACTGCAAGCAGGAGAATACATTTAGTTCTTGGGACATCCTGCTGCTGTGCTTTGGGGATGAGGAATTCTGCTGGAATTAAGAGAGCAGAACAGAATAGCAGAGTTGGAAGGGACCTTGGAGGTCTTTTAGTCCAACCCCCTGCTCAAATTGTTGTTGTTGTTAGTTGCGAAGTCGTGTCCGACCCATCGCGACCCCATGGACCACGTTCCTCCAGGCCTTCCTGTCCTCTACCATCTTCTGGAGTCCATTGAAGCTCACGCCTCCTGCTTCAGGGACTCCATCCAACCACCTCATTCTCTGTCGTCCCCTTCTTCTCTTGCCCTCCATCTTTCCCAGCATCAGGCCCTTCTCCAGTGAGTCCTTCCTTCTCATTAGGTGGCCAAAGGACTTGAGTTTCAACTTCAGGATTTGGCCTTCTAAAGAGCAGTTGGGGTTGATCTCCTCCAGGACTGACCGGTTTGAATGCCTTGCAGTCCAGGGGACTCGCAGGAGTCTTCTCCAGCACCAGAGTTCAAAGGCCTCCATTCTTTGGCCCTCAGCCTTTCTTATGGTCCAACTTTCACAGCCATGCATTGCAACTGGGAAAACC